TTGATTTGTTTCTTATGAAAATTTTCAAGTGGTTTATGATCAGTTTCAATAATAAAATCTGAATCACCTATATATGATCGAAGTTCAGACAGACACCAAAAAATAGCTAATGCTTCTTGTTCAATTGTATCATATTTACGTTCGGTATCATCTAACATACGTGATTTAAAATAATTAATTTTTGTGCCATTCGGTGTGTCTTGTCGTAAAATTCCACCTATTCCAATATTTGATGCATCAGTTGTTAAAACAAATGGAGTTGATGAATCTGGATATTCTAAAAATAATGGATATGTTGTCAGAAGACGTTTAAATTCATTAAATGACTGTTGTTGATCAGGTCCCCATTTAAATTCATGGCGATGATGTTTTGTTTTATTGGTAACTTTGTGTAATGGTGCGGCTATACGGGCAAAATTAGGAATAAACTTTCGATACCAATTAATTTTCCCTAAAAATTCATTTGCTTCTTTAAGTGTTTTTGGAGTTGGTAAATCGACAATAGCTTTAATTTTATCACCATTAGGTTTAACGCATTGTTCATTGATTGTATGGCTTAAAAAATCGATTTCTTGAACAGCAATGGAACATTTAACAGGATTAACTTGAAAGTTGGCTTTAGCTAATATTGACAAAATTTCGTTTAAATGGTGTAAATGTTCATGGAATGTATATGAAAATATCAAAATATCATCTAACTAAACCATAACATAATTCCAGCAGCCATAACCAAGAAGATTGTGCATAGTTCTTTGAAAAGTTGGTGGTCCATTCATAATACCCTGTGGAAGAACGTTGAACTCCCATAAACCATCTTGTGTAATAAAAGCTGTTTTTTCTTTATCTGTTTCATGTATGGAAGCTGAAAATTACATGATTTAAGATTTAATTTTGTATAAAAACGATGACCACCTAATCGATGCAGTAAATCCTCAGTTGTTGGTTGAGGGAAGCAGTCTTTTTTGGTCACCGAATTCAATTTTCGATAATCCACTAAAAATCGAATACCACCATCCTTTTTTTTGTGAATAATAACTGGAGATGACCAAAGGGAATTGGATGGACGAATTTGATTTGTTTGTGTCATTTTTTGGATTTCATCTTGAAGTTCACGTCTTTGTTCGATGGTTCTTGGATATGGTCGTGAGCTAACCGGAAGGCTATCACCGCTGTTAATAGTGTGTTGAATATGCGTGTTGGCTTGTGTAATTTTCGAAATATCAAAAATTTTCATGTGCTGTTGTAATATTAAACGTAATTGTTGTTGCTCTTGAACATTTTTAATATGAGTAATTAATTTATCAATTCTGTTCGATGTTTCAGAAGGTTTTTGCTCTAGTTCAATTGTATTAAAAATATGATGTTGAAGCGATACCGACAAAGTTTCACGAAATGTATCAAATAATAAACATGAATGCATTTCATACGGTGTATGTGTTACTCGAGCTAGAAGAGTATTCATTGGTAATGTGTAGGAATAATCATGTGGATTATATACTTCTAAATATGTGGTATAATTATTTATGTGTAACAACGAAGGTGATATGACAATAGATTTTTCGGATTGTATAGAATCGACAGGTGAGAAGTAGACGGTATCAGCTGATGATAATTCGACTTTGGCTTGAACAGAGTATGATTCACGTGGAGGTATATGAATAACATTAATTGATTTGACATCTAAAGTTAAGCAATCAATGCTTTTGTGATATGGAATGAAGACACGACCACATGAAGAACGTATAGACACTTGATTGTTTTCATAATCGATTCTTGCTGCATTTTTTGTACACCAATCACTGCCAAGTATAAAATCTGTATTCATTGTTTTGACAACGAGAACATTTAAAGGCGTAAAAATTTTATTAAATTGCAAGAATAGTTGAACTTCACCTACTATTTTAAGCGTGGTTTGACCATCACCTAATTGAGCTATACGATCACATGGGGGTATGGCTGAATGATATAATGTGCTAATGGCACCTTGAGTGATAAATGAATGAGTAGCACCGGTATCGATCATAGCACGTAAACGTGATCCATTGATGTGAGTGTTGATAAAAATTAATGACGGGTTGGATTTTTTAACATTTTGATTAAGGGCATTATGTTGTGCGATGGATTTAACGAGCGGTTGTCGAGGTTTGTTCATTGTGATATATTTGCGAGGGGGTATCGAAGAAGTCGGGTAGTTTATTATGTTGCGATTAGTACGATAGCGAAAAAACGGAACGAAGCGACGATAGGTATGCGGTTGTTGTACAGAATAAGTTCTATTTATTGATGGAGAAAATAGTGATGGTCGCGATGGATGGGAGTCACTACCATCATTTGACTCCCTTAATAGTTTTTTTGCAGATCTACAATCACGAGCAATATGTCCCAATTTCTGACATAGGTAACATCGTAAAGGGCGTGGTTGATAGTGTAATGCATTAAACGAAGATTGTTGCGTTTGAGATGGATAACGTGACGATGATGGATCATGAAATCGATTGTATGTTGTTCGAGGTGAGTATACGTTTGCCGAATAACCTTTAGAATGCATATGTGATGAATTTTGGT